GGTTGTGTTGCCTCCCTCGGACCTCTCCTGGAGATCCGCGACTGCCCTGTTGCCTTCCTTCTTCCTGAGTTTGCTTCTTGTCATCTCCTTACCTGGCTGTTGAGAGGACAGTTTAGGCTGTTTGAGGGAGCAAAAAGGGCTTCTTTGAGATTGTGTAAATATTTGCTGCTGGGAGTGTAGAAAGTCCAGGCTTTCTAAGAGTCGTGATACTTGCTAGCAAATTAAGGCAGCGGCTGCGTTGTCAAACCGCATCCTGGAGCCTGAACAGGGACCGTGTGGTGTGTGTTTTCCCAGGGGCCAAAGGGTCACAGTCCCTGGACCGGTGTCTCACAGTTCCTACAGACGTCTCAGAAGATCATCCAGTTTGCATCAGGGAAGGAGCCACAGCCAGGAGACACCATCATCTACGTGGCCGGAGCCTTTGACCTGTTCCGTATCCTTGACTCTATTCCCTCAAGAAAGTAGCTTTGCTCTCTTTGTTTGATGTTTTCAGTTTCGAGGCACCAGACTAGGATACTTGCCTCTTCTCTTTTTTTTTAATTTTTCCTTGTTTTTTTCTTTTCTGTAGGTGTGCGTGTGAGGGAGGAGGCGGGAGTTCTTACTGGCAGTTTCTTAGTCACAGGTCACTGAGAAAGGAGCTATAGCTCCTCTCTAGAGAGATTTGTGCTGTTGGAGGGTTTCAGGAAGCCAGCTGGATACTCTCCATGCTCTGGTGGTGATGCTCTAGTGTCCCTTGAGGACTGAGTGTCATAGGTGAAATAACTGCACAGGGCATCTGGCACGGACACTTCAGTCTTGGGACAGTCGTGAAGGTGTTGTGCCAGAACACCCAACCAGGCAGAAATTCTGGACAGAGGCAAAACTGAGTCTGTGTAAGGTGGACCTGAAAAGATGTCTGGCTTTTGCCCTGAACCTGTGGAGTCTCAGGAGGAAGGAGGCAGCTGTTCTTAGGACACAGGCAACAAATAATGCAAAAATAAAATCCTTGGGATTCCTGCCTCCAGCCCTGTTTTTTCAGTGCATCTGTTTCTGTTTTCCTTTCCCTGTTTTTCGTGTTAGCTTCAATTCCTTAAAGAGCTTTACAGATATTGGGCATGTAGATTTCCTGGAGAAGGTTCACCGGCTGGCCGAGAAACCCTACATCATCGCTGGGCTGCACTTTGACCAGGTCTGTGTGTAGCATCCAAAGGCCCCTGTTCTGTCTGAAACAAGCCGGCTGTGCTCCGGAAGGCAGGAAAGGGATGGATGGGCCAGCGCAGGGTTTTCACGCTGGGAGAAGGAGGAGGAGGGGTTGCTTTGTCTCTTTCCTAATCATGCCTGGCGCTTTTGCCTTAGGAAGTAAATCGCTACAAAGGGAAGAACTATCCCATCATGAACATCCATGAGAGAACGCTCAGTGTCTTGGCCTGTAGGGTAAGTGCTGGTCAGGCAGGTGCTGAATGGGGACACCTGTAGCCCACAGCCTTGCGTGAGTTCTTTGGCATGAGCTGAGAAGGTGAAGACAAGACCGTTGGGCTGCCAGAGGTCCTCTCAGGGGGGGTCACTGCTCTCCTCTGTCATCCTGGCTAACCCGAGCTCTTGAACTCGTCGCCTCTATTCCACAGGCAGTGCGAGGGCGGGCTGCCTTGCAGAGTGCTGCGCTCTGCACTGTGCAGACAGACGAGTTCTTGCAGAAAGCTCTCTGCTCCCTGCAGCAGGGGAGGTGACTGAGTAGCGCAGGCCCAGAAATCTGTGCCCTGAGCAATTAACCTTTGGATTTGCTGTATGCTCCCTTCCAAAAACCATATTCTTTAGTGGAACAAAAAGATGCATCTGTAACCAGATGACCTGCTCAAGTGAGTTTAGAAAGCAGGCAGGAATCTGTTTTGGGTTTTTGCTTTCAAATCTGTTTTTCTTTCCTAGTATGTCTCAGAAGTGGTGATTGGAGCCCCTTATGCTGTCACTGCTGATCTGCTGGATCACTTCAAGGTGAGAATTTGCGTATCAGTGGACATGAAGATGCTGGGGTGTGTTGTGCTTAGGGAGCTAAAGCGGTGCAGGAAGACTCAGGGATGCAGTAGAGAGATCGTCCTGCTCAGCAGGATTTTGGGGAGCTCCAGGTGCGCTGCTGAGCCTGCTGCAGGAGGGCTGGTCTCGCTAATCTCCAGGCTATGCTGCAGTGCCTGCAGTGGCAGGGAAGGTCCTTGTCGTCCTTTGCGTCTTGTCAGAAGCTTTGTGTCCTTCTGCAGGTAACACTTGTGTGTCACGGGATGACTGAGGTGGTGCCGGACAAGGACGGTTCTGACCCGTACAAGGTAAGCTGCTCACTGCTGGTGCCCGTGCTGCTTTGTCAGCATTCAATAGGTACAGCACGGCTTTGTTTGTGCTCCTGAGCTGAGAGTTTGTATTGCAGAGGATGCTACCCAAGCAGGGCCTTGGCAGATGATGCTGTTTTTCATCCACTCCTCAGGGTAGCTCCTTGGAGCAGAGCCTGTAAACCATTCACAACAGCTCGGCTATCTAGTCACTATTTTATTTTGCCCGTTTCCAATGCCTTCGTGGCAGAGCGAGAAATCCTGTAATGTGTGCTTTGTGCCAGTCCTGGGCAGCCTTGCTCAGCTCCTGTTTACGTGAAGTTTTGCTTTCAGCGGTTATTTATTCTGCCTCTCGGGAGATGGTTTTGTGTCAGCTTGGCGGGGTGCCCGTAGGACCTGGCGTGACTCCTGCTCAGCTTTCACTGCTGAGCTGCAAACCCGAGGGGTCCTGTGTGTTTTTCACAGCCAAGTCTGCTGTGTTCACAGGAGCCGAAGAGACGCGGCATTTTCCAGCTGGTGGACAGTGGCAGCAATCTCACCACAGATTTAATCGTGCAAAGAATCATCAAGAACAGGTTGGTTTTCTTCATCTCCCAGTTCTGTCACGTACTGTCCTGTCCAGCCTGTCTGAGGACTAACTAATGGAATCAATTAGGAAGAGAAGGGGTTCTCTAAAGGCGCAGAGTCAGTGAGCTGGTCCTTCATCTTCCACAGCTTGGGCAAGATGCTTAAGTGTGGATGTACCGCAGTGTATAGGAAGAGGAATGGCTGAACTCTGCTATGTCTGAATGTGCTTCACAGCATGTTTTAGTAATTTTTCCACCTCCTCTATTACGGATAAAAATTTCCTTGCTGTATTCCTGGGGAAAGAAGCACATTGCTTCTTTTAGGCCTGAGCCCTTCAGCTTCCGTGACCTTGGCTCAGGTCAGTGGTTAATTCTGGTCTTGGCATCACAGCACTAAGTGGTCTGTCCCAGGACAGCCAAGCATGGAACAGCAGCATCTTCTGCAGAGGAAGAAGTAAGTAGTGTTTGACTGGTATAGGAGCCCAGGACTTTGGAGTAATGGTGGCACTCGTGGGAAGCTCTGGGAAGTGGCTCTTAGAATCTGGGGTTTACTGGTGAGGGGTCTGAAGTACTCTCAGAACAAAGCAGCGCAGGAGAAGGCAGCACTCCCTTGCTCCAGATGCTTTTAGTCTGCTTGGAGATGTGGATGGGTAAGAGTCTCATGGCATTTTGTGATGGATGCAGGCTGGAGTTTGAGGCTAGGAACCAGAAGAAGGAAGCTAAGGAGTTGGCTGTGTTGGAGGCCATGAAGAGACTGGAAGAGAAGCACTAGATCAGCGGAGCCAATGTGTGGGTCGCAGAGCGCCGCAGCCTCACCCACTTGAAGAGCAGACCCCTCTTGGAGAGGGGACCCCTCAACGGGACACTGCTGCCGGCACGCAGGATGTGCTGTCCTACCCTCTTCTGTTCTAGCTCCTCCTGCACTAATTATGCAGACATAATGAGTTGGGATCCTGCTGCCTAGTTTTTCCTCCGTTAATCAGCCCCTGTCCCCTTTCCCAGGAGGAGAGATGACAAAAACCCCATGGTTTTAATTATAACTAATGTTTTAACATGTTGATGTGCTTTTACCTTCTGCCATTTCTGGCTTTTAGTAGGAGGGAAGCGGAGCAGCTGCCCAGGCCCCTCGAGGCTCAGCAGTCCTGAGCAGAGCCCGTGCTCCGGAGCAGCCCCTGGGGTGTGGGCGGGGGCAGCTGGTGAGATCAACCACCCCGGGGGTGTACGGCCCCTCGGTTGGGGG